CGCACACGCACACGCACACGCACGCGTGCAACAATGATGCCCACAGCAGCACCAGGGGCACCTCGACAAGGGCAGATAGAATTGTCATTGCTTTGGACCGCAGCAGATGCAGCGGGAAGAGTCATGGCAATACCAAGGAAAAGCTTTTGCATCAGAAGGAGATGGCAGCCCCCATAGTACACGTCCCAAACCTCAAGATTGCCCCTGCTTCTGCACTTCTCTTACTCTATGTGCCCCTGACTGAGCCTCCGGTTGGTTTTCTGTGCGTTCCCAGTTGTACACCGGGGCTCCTGCCGCTCACACCACCATGCTGTCGCAATGCATCCTGGACTTGCAGTTGTTTTTTGGATAAAGCTTGAGGGGTCCAGGACGTGTCAGTCTTCGTGTCGACTGAAGCCTGAGATATCCTCCCTTTGTGATCTCAAATCCGGCCAGGGTTCTGGAACTCTTTGCGAGTCCTTGCTGATGAACCAGGCCCGGCTCCCTGTTGCACTGTGCCGGCCTGAAAGGTTCAGCATACTTCCACCACCAGACCTATGCTTCCCCTTCAACCCTTCAAGTAGGGCTCGATGCTTTTTGAAGTGACCGACATGTGTCGTGCAGTAGCCTAGCAGGAAGCCGGAGCCTCGACACCCTAAGACGTGGCTTTCTGTCAGGCTGCCCATGCCAACGTGCTGCTGGCTGGTTTGTGAAAGCTCGAAGCCTGTTACCCTGCAGTGGCCGCCACTCTTGCACAGATAGACACAGAAGCGTAGATCGAAAGGTGGGTTAGCAAAGGGTTTGCAACTCCAAGCTGCATCTCGACGCATGCTTGCGGTCCAGCGCACGACCAGAGTTCAAACTCCTCAGGACAGTTTGCCATGAGAACATTTTAGTGACAAGGGTGCTGGGCAGTTGTTTGGTGAGTGAATTGTGTTTTATGGCAGACCACTGAGTCCAGGCAGCCGTGTACGGAGTCGCCGAAGCTCCCTAGCAAAGCTACAGTAGAGAAGCTCGGCCAGCCACCAAAATCTCGATGCTCAACAGGTACTGTTCCCAAACAAGCACCACGACCCTCCTCTGCAGTACCACGAGGTGCTGCCAGCCGTCTCGCAAAGCTAGCATTGGTCGAAGATGAACATGTTAGAAGACAAGCTCTTCAGTTTCATGATCACGGCACCATTTAACTTGAAAGTGATCCGGCGAGACGCCACATTCAGTATCGCATGCATCGAAGCGGCACACCCGCAGGCATTTCCTGCTGGATCTTGCTGGACTCCAGCCATGAGTAAGCTGAACATACAGCTATGTCCTGAAAACAACCCCAACGTCCCGGCACAGTCCGTGTTGAACTTGGTGTCCATGTTGTACAGCAATCGTACAGAACATCTGCAGCTACAGATAGTTCGCCCAGCTCAGTACGACATCTGATGACAGTCTTGTTAGGTCAAGGAGAACCGCGCCCGCCGTCCTGTTTCCGGGGTTGAGTAGATGACTAGATGGGCATGCAAACTTTTCTTGGACCCGACCCGAACCCACAAGTAAGCCCAAGAAGACTTTGGACGCTGTTAGGAGCGCGCGGTCGTGCGTTGATTACCCATGAACACAAAGAGCAAGTCATCATCACAGTCGAGGCAGACATAGGAAAACTGCACACAATGCCTGTCAAACGAAAGATGGTCAGCAGCGTCAAGCGAAAGCCTGCAGCTGCTCTTCCGGTTCGGCGCGGTCCTCAAGTTACTTCGGGTCGCTACTAAGGAAGCCTGGGCCTGATAGTTGCCCCGTGCAGTGTATCTGGGCTTTATGAGCAACCTCCCCATGCCCCCAGGCTGGAAAAACGGTTCTGCGATCTGGGCAGGTTGATCTAGAATTTGATTTGGACTTGTGTCCGGAGGCTAGCAGCAGGTACGAGTAGGCAAGCTACCTGAAGTATCTAGGAATCGCCTCCCTACAGCCTGCGCAACGTCAGTAGCGACTCTGTTTCCCGAGCCAATCCGCACAAAAGCAACTCCCGGCTGCTGTACATCCCAAGTCCATACGAAAGGAAGCGACACAAAGAAGATGGCCCTGCATGCGGCGTGTTCGTCCGGAACGCCCCTCGCGGAACGGATGTGCAGGCACACTTGCCATGGACGCACATGCAGATGCGCATTACTATTAGCCTAACTTGGAACCCTTCGCCTTCGGCCCAAGCGCGATTCCGACAGTTGAGGTATACCTTACAAAATTCTGAGGCACTCAACCCCGCATAGTTCCTTGCCATCTGCTGGCTTGACATACCTCGTGACGCGCTTCTCTGCCTACGGGAGATTGCATTGCTTCAGGGGTTTGGAGCTACCTCAGCTGCAAGCAGACGCCTTGAGAAATGTCATTGGCACGTCCACTCCCTGGTTTGATACTAATCTAGGCAGCTAGGCGTTCCGCTGGCTCTTCAGACTGTTGGTGCAGGTGTTTGTTTCACAGTTTGGTGCAGGTGATGGTATCATTGCTTTCACAATAATGGCCATCGTTGTGCGCGCCTGCTAGTTAACTGTGCATGCAAACAATACTTATGCATGCCTGCATGTATCTCTGTTTGGCTGGCTGGCAGCCTAAACATACACACATACACACATACGGGAATACACACAGACACATACAGAATTACATGCGTGCATGCATACATACGTAGACGCACATGCAGTATATACTTATGTGTATGCAGACGGACAGAGGGACGGACAGAAAAGGATACATACACGCGCACATATAGACACACGTGTTTGCATGCCTGCATCCATACATGCACGCAGACAGAACGACAAACAGACAGACACACAGACACGAAGACACACAGACACACACATAGACTCACAAACCTACACACATACATGCATGCATTCATGCGTACATACATAGTTGCGTAGGTTTTTAGAAGGGGACAGACCGGCAGACAGAGACAAAGCTACATGCCTATGCATAAGTGCACACATGCTTAAATCCATCCATACTATACATGCATACGAATCTGATGGGGCAGTTGTTCAACGAACGAGACGCAGACCATTTGCAGCAACCACATCCTGCCGAAGGCCAGATTCTCCAACGAACACTTCGCAGAAGGACCATTGGGGTTGCGAGAGTTTGGGGCGGACGGTTGCAGGGGATTGGTTTGTCCGCTTATCGGCAATTTTTGCATGTAATTAACCGTGCCAAATGCCAGTGGCCAAGTAGCAGTGAGAGCATCGGAATTGGACGAAGTACCCTGTCTCCTAGATCATCATGTGTGCAGAGCAAGAGACACAGGAGAAAACGCCGAGAGCCCAGATCCCAGAAGCCCTTGTATGCATCCTCACAGTGACGTTGTCGATACCACTTCTATCGTGAGAGGCGGCTTCCGCCACGTCTACAAAGGCGTCTACCTCTCCGGGCCCAGAGAGGGGGAGGAGTGCGCAGCATGCCTCAAGAAGTTTAGGAGTTGAGGATGCCATCGTGGTCATGGTGGTTGCCGACTGGATGTGGAGGTCGTAATTGGGCTTCGCGGCCCTAGCTGTCCTGGCAAGAATGGCGCGAGAGCCGAGGTAAGAACAATAGACAGAACTTAGTGTAGTCAAGGCTTGCTGACGTCACGGTCTTTGAATGTATGTAAGGAGATCCTAGAGTGCTTATGGAATCCTCCTACTTGGAGAAGAAGTAACACTAGCAAAGCTCGTAAAATCGGAAGCGTGGCGAAAGCAGTGGGTAGGGATATTGGGATGAAGGATTTTTTGGATCTACATAGCCTCGTGGTTCGACATTGTTGACAGCGGTATTCCGCCTGATTCAGTCTTGTGGAGATTCCTGGGACAGCTGTTCTGAAGTCGTTGACTCGCCGAACAGAATTTGAATACACGAGGTCATGAAAGAGTTCAAGACTGGAAGCGTCCACGAAGCAACCTTCTTCGAGGCAAGACGATCTGGGATCCTGGAAGTAAGGTTCTGACCATCTTCAGCCAACACAGCACGAAACCCTGTAGTCTCAGCTTGTTCAAACAACAGCTTTCAAATACATCATGTTCCTCATGTGGCTTCGAACTATGCAGTCTATGCACGACACGAGAAAGGCAATGAATCTTTGTTCAGTGCGTGAGAAGATTTGTCTGAAGACCTTCCAAGCTGACAAGATGTGTTAAAGCAATAATTTCAGCTTGTGGCTCACCTATACCAGTTAATCATCTTGTTGGGATCTGCTTCCTTTCGGAGCATTGGGGTCAGGGGTGTTGGTTTTTAGATGAACACTTTGCTCTACCTGCCTGCTTTTGCAGCCTTGTTTTGCACACAATTATGAGGCGGGCTTTGTTCGGCCTTTCGATGGATCCCGACCCAGTTTCTTGTGTTTCACAACTTGGGAACACCGACACTAATCATTACTAGTTCTGCAGGCAAACACGGCTGACTATGGTAGATGTACTTTACTACTCTTGGGGTTAGGCGCGTCAGCCTCAAACCTGTCGTGCTTCACGAGCGACTGCATAGGCAGATGTCCAAGCAGTCAAGAAGGCCACACGGATGCAGTGAAATGTGACACCTCGGGTTGCAGAGTTTGGAGGGCCGCGACGGCATCAATGCCCGAAGCTTTCGAGTTGGATCACAATGAGGTCCAGCTTCGGTTCGGAGAAGAGCTCTCGCCCAAAATTGCGATTTCAATCTCCTTAGCCTTAGCATCTGTAGAGGCACTGTTGAACTCAGCTCCTGCCAGGGGTTACCGCAAGGGATGCCGGATGTAGAGGCTGTAGCCTGATTTTATTCAACGTCATCTTTATCTTTGTGAGTTGCGGACACGACACCTTGCCACTTTACAGCATTTTGCACGTGTCGGAGGAACTTCGTGGCCTCCCCACAATCACCGCTCGACCTGCGAGCTGGAGCTTTCTCCGTTTGTGGGGCTGTTGAGAACAGAGTTTGGGTTGCAGGGGCTCAGATGTTTTGAGTTTCGGATTTAGCGGCCTTCGCAGCATCGAAGTTTGAATCTGCTAGGATTTGTTCCCAGCATGGCGTGGATACAGTCGCTGCAACCTGCTGTCCTGTAATCTAAGGCTGGGCAGCTGATTCAGAAATTCAACGATGCCAACGTTGTGCTTCGGCAGCCGTAATAATCTGTGACATGCTCGGCTAGATTGATTAGGTGAGTTCTGTGTCTGTGTCGCCCTGAGCCAATGGCTTGAACTGTCCACCACATGCCCCGTAAATGACAAAACAGCTTACTTGGCATTCAACCGACGCCTGCGCCTCGAAACACTAAGCACGTCCAAAGCCTCAAACCCTACACAAATGTAGCCCCCTTAACCCGTATGCTGTTCCAGACTGCCGAAAGCCAAGACAAGTATGAGTGATAGCATTTTTGGTTAATAAGTCCTAGGCGAAACATAGATTCCCAGCGGATGCAGCTTGAGAACACATCTGCGAGCTTCGGAGTGCGTAATTTTCCTTGGAAAAGCGAGTCACACCGGATGTGGTTAGCAAGGGGGGGGGGGGGGGGGGGGGTGGTTAACCTTATTCGTACACTAGGCCTGAGCCTGGACAGCTTTGGGATACAATGGGGAAGACCGGCCTGGCCCATCTTTCCAATATCTACCTGTAGTTTGTCACGATCGAGGCTCAGAGAGGTTAGCAAGGACGACGTAGCTCTCGTGGTCCCTGACAAACCTGCGAACATGTAGGAGCTCCGTATGAACGAAGCACAACACCTGCAGCTGCCCTGTCAGCCGAGTCTCCGAGACCTAGAGCGGAAGTCTACATCCCGGGAATCCCAGGAAATCGATTAGGACTTTAGTCAAGCCCGAAAGGTCGGACACCGGATTACGGACAAATAGTGCTGG